TGGTCACCCACCGCGCGGAGAGCAAATGCGATACAAAATAGATATTGGTGGGAATGTCTCGCCTAGAGGAGATTTCTTATTGCGGTGGGACGTTGGTCGGTCAAAGAGACCCCAGAAACTATTATCTTCACGAGACCCTACCTGTATCAAGAGTTTGTTACAAGTTTCTTAGCCCAAGCGTTTGCGTTGCGTATATCGAGTAACACATCAGTGTAATCCACGCTCATGAACCTCGAACAAGATAATCTAACGAGAAAACCACACAGTGTGATGGTATGTCATCACATGTCTAAGGAATCTGTATCAACTGTATTCAGTAGTCTACGGTATCGAATTTCGTAGTGGCAGAACCCGTCAGAAGCGAGTATTGTACACGCAGTGTGGGGAGGAGGAAATACAAGTTGTATCCTTTTCAAGGGAAAGATGAAGTGTGAAGTGTCCTAGAGTTCCAGCGGAAATTTTCGTGTCATCAGTGAGTAGATCACCGAGAGTAGTATCCTATATTGCTTATCGGTATAATATGGACTTACAACTCATCATCAAAAGAACCAGGAGAGAGGCAACGTCGTCGAGATATTATAGTGAAAAACCGGGGCATGCATGCAACCTGATGCATCAATAATGATGCAGTGGAAACAACCCCACCGGGGTTCGAACCAGGAGTCTATCGACGAAAAATTGCTCTATCGATTTGGAAGACACTACCCTCATCTTCATCAGACGACGCCGTCCGGCCCGGTTGCTCTGTCGCAGACTGAGACGCGAAGACTGTCATCCCGCGCAGCTGAATGCCCAAATGCACCTTATTCTTTCTGGGTTATCTTTCAAGGCGAGCTCGCCTTAGAGTTCTCCTCCCTGCGAATGCAAGTTGCAAGTTCAACTTGCAACTTGGGACAACAGGATTTCCTATAAGGCGAAAAAAATTTCTTTTGTTTCGGTGTTACGAAAAAAATAAATTCATGTGTGATAGGCTGAAAAAAAAATCGCTATTTTCTGTAGTTTCGCGGAGAGATATCGTAAAGGATGGTGAGTTATAGAGGCAGAGAAATTCTCTGCCTCTATAACCTCTATAAACCTCATTCTCTGAGAGAATGAGGTTTATCGGGATATTATCTGGGGGTCTCCCAATGGCGGAATATCACAATCGAGTAATATACCACAATCGAATTGACGGCACAATATTATACAAACCTGGGACAGAAAGCTGAAACTCATTCGGACTCTGATGAATCCGCATCTGCGGCGAAATATTCTTGCATGTTACGCAACGCCACATATTTCGCACGTCTTTGTGCGCGTAGAACGGGTCTATCACGATCATCAGCTTGCTGGATGACCATATCATCATCAGAGATGTCTGACCCTGTATCACTACCGATCAGGGGCCCCGATCGGATCTCTTTACGAGGTTTCTTGGACACTGGTTCCGGTCGCTTGGCGCGACGACGACGCTGTTTTGACCCATTCCAAGTTCGGAGCACCTCCCGTATGAAGGCTTCGTCACTCGGTTGACTGCTAGCACCGATAGTCTTTGACATACTTATTCTGACTAATGCTGGTAGATGGATATGAAGTCGGCGCCGAAAGCGAGATCGATGCCGAGAAAGGGCACTAAAAACTCGCTCTGCATCGGCAGATGTTGGTGACACCACTCGACACACATTATCGTAGAATGCCCATAAAGCAGAGAGGCCGGCAGGCTTAATATTGTGTATATCGGGGATCACAGCACCAGCAGCTTTCAGCCTGGAATACTCATTGCGGACAAGTTGATAATCTCTGGCAAAATCCACAGCCTTCAGGT